CCTAAACCCTAAACCCTAAACCCTCCGTTGCTCCGCCCGCTGCCCGCCCGCAGCAGCCGGCACAGTGCGGCCCTCCAGGCCCCCCCAACCAGCAGCAGCAGCAGCAGCAGCAGCAGCAACAGCAGCAGAAGCAGCAGCAGCAGCAGCGCACTTCTTTCCTTGAGATGCGCTATGTCATCGTGCAGCTCCTCGAGCGCGTCCACCTGCAGCCGCAGCGGCCCAAACCCTCAAGCTCCACTTGGATGCCAAACCCTAAACCCTAAACCCTAAACCCTAAACCCTAAACCCTAAACCCTAAACCCTAGCGAACTGAAAAGGATTGCACGCACCCAGCGGGGAGGCAGCCGATGGCTTGGGACCCCCAGCTCTTCATCATCTGCTTGGAAGGAGAGGAGGCGCTGTTGGCCTGCAGGCGCCGCGCCGCAAACCCTAAACCCTAAACCCTAAACCCCAAACACCAAACCCTAAACCCTAAACCCTAGGCGCAGGGGCCCAGCTTACGCGTTGCTGCTCTGCTGGTGGGGCTGGGAAGGCAAACGCTGGGCTTTGTGAAGCGAAGTTTCTTTTCTTTTATTTGGGCCTTGAAGCGAAAAAAGAGGGGACTCAAGTCCCGAAACGCCAAAGAAGCAGCCATTGCTGCTGCTGCTGCTGCTGTTGCTGATGCTGCTGCTGTTGCTGCTGCTGCTACTTCTGCTGCTGTTGCTGCTGCTGCTGCTTCTGCTGCTGCTGCTGCTGCTGCTTCTGCTGCTGCTGCTGCGGGTGACGAGTTGGTTCTTGCTGCTCGGCTGCTGGGTGCTGCTGCGGGCAGCGAGGACCCCTGACGCCGCCGCTGGGGACAGGCAGCGCTTGCTGTTCTTGCTGCTGCTGCTGCTGCTGCTGCAGTTCCTTCTGCAGTGGGTTGCTGCTGCTGAGCCGCTTTTGCGGCAGGTCTTGCTGCTGCTGCTGCTGCTGATGCTGATGCTGCTGTTGCTGCTTTTACCTCTTAGAAGGCCTGCTTCGCCGGCCAGATAGTCCTTCGAGTCATCAGCCAACGAATTTCCCCGGGCTGCCGGGGGGCCCTCGGCTGTGTGCTCCCAGAACCCTTTTGGCTAGGGGCCCCTGCAAGTTGGGGGCCCCCCAGCCCTGCAGAGTGGCCAGCGTTGTGATTTGAAGTTCCAAAACTAAAAATTATGAATTTGCTGCAAAAAAATGAATCTGGATGCAGCTCGAAAGCTCGGGAAATGGCGGCTGCTAATTGGGGTGTCTGTACACCGCAGCCGCCTCAAACGCCGGTGTGCAGCGCAGAGCAGCAAAACACGACGAAGCAGCTTCGAAGTAAAATTTGAAAACTTGACTGCGCAAATTTCACAAAAACTTTAATAAACAAACCTAGAAAAACACCTAGAGGTCTAGGAGGCCCTCTTCCCAGGTGTACCTACACCCAGTTTACGGAGCGGCGCCCTCCTGGGGCCACGCGGGCAGTTAAGGGGCACCATATTACTTATTTTTCTTTAACTGTTTCACTTCTCTTTATTTCCCAGCCAGAGTCTATTTTGTGTTTAAAATGCATGCTTAATACTGCCTCGGGGCCCCCTCTAGCATGGAATGCAGTGACCCAGCTGCAGCCAACTGGCTATACAAAAGCTGCACGCCCAGCCGCTATACCACTGGGCCACTTCGCTAGGGGCCTCGTGTTGCGGCCCCCGCAGCTCCTGTGGCCAGAGAGGGCCTGGGGGGCCTCCACAGTCTGCTGCTGCTGCTGCTGCAGCTGCTGCTGCGTCAGCTGCTGCCCCGTGCTGCAATGTAGGTACTCCTCGCTCCCGCTGCGGCAAGCTCCTTGGAGCTAGGCAGCAAACCCGTACGCCCAGGGGCGCCCTGGGAGCCACCCGAGCTGCAGCAGCCCGCATCCTCATAGCAGCAGCAGCAGCAGCAGAAGCCAAGCTACCTCGTCACTACAATTCGAAGCTGCAGCTGCAGCATATGCTGCAGGAAATGATGCAAAAGAGCTGCCGCGCCGAGGCCTAGAGCTGACACTCACTGGGGTGTACGTACACCTGAAGAGCGGCGGTGCCGCAGGCGGCCGTGGGGTGTACGTACACCTGAGGGCCGCGGAGCTTCAGGTGTACTTACACCCCACGGGGCCCCCCCAGACGCAGCAGCTAGCTAGCTGGCTATTAAAGATACAGGAGCGCTGCGATGTTGCGGCAGCCCTTTGTTGGTAGTAAAAACAAATTAAGTTCTAGAGAGAAGTGGCTGACAGAAGCAGCAAAACCGGGCCACAGCTAGCTGCAGCATTTGCTGCACGCGTGTCGCCAGCCAGTTTCGTGGCTAGCTGCCTAGCTAGCTGCCTAGCTAGCTGCCTAGCTAGCTGCCTAGCTAGCCAGCTCGCTGGGCCCGATCTTCAAGCCCGCGCCAACAAAAGCTTTTCTTCAGTCACAGTTGCTGCTTCGCTGGAGCCACATGCAGCAGCAGCAGCAGCAGCAGCTGCTTCCCGCGCGGCAGCTTCTGCTGCTGCTGGTTTCCCCTTCTAAAAGCTGGCGTTCTAGTCCATAGAAAACTACGCAGTGAAGAAGCCCCTCTTCCGGGGGCTCTTGTTGCTAGTGGCGCTCCTGCAGCAGCTGTTGTGTTGCTGCTGCTGCTGCTGCCCTTCGCCCTCCGCCTAGGTGCAGCAGCAGCCGACCCGCGCTGCAGTTCTCGCAGCAGCAACAGCAGCAGCAGCAACAGCAGCAGCAGCAGCTTCCTACACTCGCTCTTTGCTTCCGCCACCTGACCCTCATTTCCACATGGCGGCATACCCCTCCGCGTCGTCCGCGTCAGGTGGCCTCAGCAGCAGCTGCAGCAGCAGGTGCAGCAGCAGATGCAAAAGCAGGTGCAGCAGCAGATGCAGCAATCGCTGCAGCAGCCGCAACAACAATCGCCGCAGCTGCTGCCGCTGCAGCAGCACCTGCTGCTGCTGCTGCCCCGCTGGAGGACCTGCTGCAGCTGCAGCTGCTGCAGCTGCTGCAGGGCCTGCTGCTGCTGCTGCAGCAGACAGTCCCTCTCCCCTAGAAAGTCTTAGCCCAGGACCCAGAGAGCCCCGGACAGCTCTCGCCAAGTGTACGTACACCCCACGGCCTGCAGCAGTTTGCGCCTAGAGGGCTGCGCGTACACTCGGCGCCCTCGCTATTGAGTTCAAAGAGCAGCAAGTGCTACTGCGCAGCAGCAACAGGGCTACTGCGCTGCAGCAAAACTGCTGCTGCTGCGCAGCAGCAGAGAAATCCAGTCTAACGCGAGTCCCCGCTGTAAGACGGAGACCGCCGGGGCGAACGGCTCCGCGTGCGGCTGCGGCTCCTCCTGCAGCAAAACAAGCAGCAGCAGCAGCAGCAGCAGCACCCCCAGCAGTCCACGCATCAGCGGCAGCAGCATCCCCGGAAGTCCACGCATCATCACCATCACCATCACCATCATCATCACCACCACCATCATGATCAGCAGCAGCAGCAGCAGCAGCAGCAGCAGCAGCAGCAGCAGCAGCAGCAGCAGCAGCAGCAGCAGCAGCAGCAGCAGCAGCAGCAGCAGCAGCAGCACTTGCCCGCGCCTGCGGGAGTCCCTGTACTCGTCGCGCGAGCCCCTGTGGGCGTAGCTGTCTTCTCTGTCTCTGCGCTCGTAGGCGCCCCACCAGCCGCGGTCTCTGTAGTCGCGCCGCTCCCGACTCCCGTAGCGCCCCCGCCGCGGGCTGCGCAAACCCTAAACCCTAAACCCTAAACCCTAAACCCTACGGCGAGTCCATCCTCGAGTAGCGCCGCTCATCTTCGTAGCGCCTGCCTCTCGGCGAGCCCTCGCGGCGGCCTCTTTCGTCTCGCTGCTTCTGCACCCACCACACGGCCAAACCACCGCCGCACCATTACCAGCAGCAGCAGCAGCAGCAGCAGCAGCAGCAGCAGCAGCAGCGCGCACGAGCCGCCGCCGCTTCCCGCGGAAGCGGCCCCGCCCAGCACCGCCCCAGCACACCCCCCCCCCCCAGCAGCATCCCCAGCAGCCAGCCCCCGCAGCAGCAGCAGCTGCTGCTGCTGCTGACCATTTGCTGCGGCGCGGAGCGCCCCTTCTTCGCGATGGCCACCTCGATGGCCTTCCCGTCCAGCTCGAAGCCGTCCATCTTCTCCAGCGCCCTCTCCGCGTCTTCTCTGTGCCAAAACTCCACAAAGCCGAAGCCCCGCGGCATGCGGCTGTGGTAGTCCAGCGGCAAGTACACGTCTTTCACGGACCCGTGAACAGCAAACGCGCTCCGCACGGCCTGCAGCGCCCCACACCGCCACTCCACACCCGGCTGCGGCCCCGCGCCCTCTCGGCGGCCCCGGGGGGGCCTCGGGGG